AAACAAATTGGGATTTAAATTCACAACTCACAGAGGCCAGAGTATGTGTTCTGTTTTCACCACGGTTTCACACCTCTGCGTAACGAAGAAAACCATGCTGAGTGTGAAGACAGAGTCTCTTGGAAGGTCCTCTACTAGAATGGGTGACAATGTGGTGGGGGAATGACCGTCTCAGGCATGGACATGGCTTTGTGTTTCTCCTTCTAAGAGAAATAAATACTTGAATAAGAGAGGCACCAAAATCCAGTGGGAAATGCAGATTTTTCAATAAATTAGGTTAGCACAGCTCAAAGCAATTTGAAAAGAAGCTTAACTTTTCTTCCCTTGTATGTTAAGATACAAGTTAAATATAAACGCTGAGACAAAAATTGACTTGAATATTTATCAAACTGCTAGAATAAGGATTTCCTGAGCTGGGGGTGAATAGTAAAAATTTTTCAAAGGAAATGTTAACTAAATTTGATTTTCTTTTTAAATAGAGAAAATGTTTCAAAAATGAGAAGGCACATTAAAAAAAAAAAACTAAGAAAATATCTTGAGAGAAAAATGACAGACTTACATAATGCAGAAGCAATGACAGTGTTTTTTAAACTGTGAACACAGATCAAATAATACCAAGTAACTGAAGACATCAACAAACAGTAGGCACAGATAACTCATACTCACCAGGCATACCGGGTTATGGGGTTTGTTTCTGTGGGATTCAAAAAACGAAAACAAAAACAAAACCTTTTATTTTCCAAGTCAGTCTCGAGGGACTTGACTGCTAGGATATATTGAGGAACATTATCAGGTTATCGTCCTGGTGAGTGAGTATTGTAGAATGTGTGGACACACCCTAGACAGTAGAGCTGACTATACTCCAAGGTGCCATGCTAGAACCCACTATAGAAATGCTTACAACTTTGCATTTTCTTGCTATAAACCAACAAAGAGCATAAGTGTCACCTGCCTCCACCTTTTGTCCCACTGCGAGTGCTCCTGGGCAGTAGAGTCTCATCTCTTGTGATTGGAGTGTGTTCCCCTGGACACCTCCTGATGGCCTGCCTGTGGCTGGCTCGCTGTTGACTGGCTTTCCTTATGTAAGTAGAGTGCAATCTAAAATCCTGAATAGAGAGCATAACAACTGCACAGCCTGGTAGCGGTTGTGTGTTATTGTCAGCATTGTGCTCTGGGCATAACCGTGTCCTCTGTACTGTCAAACAGCTAGACTCAGTAGGCTCATTCATACCAGCATCCACAAATATGAGTCACATCATGCTATACTGTTGTGACATCACTACGAGACCGGAATTTTCCAGCTCTATTGTAATCTTTTGTGACACTTGAATAGAAAGATAATTGGCACCTGGCTGTACTTACAAATTCACAGGAAAACATGAGTTCAGAGGAAGCCCCCTTTCCCACAGAAACATTCTACAGCTCACTTTTTTTTTTATAAAGAACATTCAATCTAATGAAAATGAAAACAATTTGATCAGTGCAACATTTTCCTAAATTGTGGTGCTAGAGAAAACAGTCTTCTTAAACATTGAAGTCACTAATAATCCCATGTTTATAGTCTCAAACATTTTTAGTAATTCTGCTTCTGGGAATGAGTCTGAGAAATAACAAGGTACATGCAAAGACATACAAATGATGCTTCCCTAGCTCTGCAGTCTGCAGATTCCCTTGCCTTCTAACACAAGGAACTGAATTGCCCCTCTGTAACACACAAGTGTAATGAAATAGCTGGCATTGAAGTCCATTCTCTCAGAGGCTTCTTCCTGGCCTAGGAACCTCCTCACAGTGTGAAGGAAGGAGATGTAACAAACAAGGCACACGCTATGCACAACTTGATCCCCACTTAAAACAAAAATAAAAAGTACACAAGTTTTTTCTAGGCGTGCGCGCGCGTGCGTGTGTGTGTGTGTGTGTGTGTGTGTGTGTGTGTGTGCGCACGCGTGTGTGTGTGTGTGTGT